CAAAATCTACAAGCAACCTACAGTCATCAAGAACCGTAGTCTTCGTTTGTTAAGCCGCAAAAGGCACTGCTGTGCGGAATACAAACGAACTGGCAACAACGACGCATACAGACAATACAAACATATAAGGAACATATGCAAAAAGGTGATATGTGAAGACAGGTTTCAGTACTAGATATGCAGTATCTCCTCGACAGGCCAAAACTGGAGTTTCCCAACTGTTAGATCTAAATGGCCCGATCAACAAAGAGGGTGACGTTGCTAATCTCCTGGCCTAACAGTACTTCAGGACATTTCAACCAACCCACATTAACTATAACTCCGCCTGTAGCTCTTATAGGGTTGCTGCCGGTCCCAAGCCCGGGTAAAGGAGGAGGGTTGGGCATGGGGTTAGCGTCCCCATCCCGTAGAAAACTAACTCGCTAAAAAAACGCTTACCAGAAAAAATAATCCAAACCATTTTAACTCTGTCCTGGGAGTTAGAAGGTCTTCATTTAGAAGAATTATGACGCTTCATGGTGAAAGCCGAGTTCCTTCGGAAGCCACGAGGCCGATGCCCCTTCTAACAACCAGAGCAAAAATTTTTATAGGTACATGGAACGTTCGAACAATGTGGGAAACCGGGAAGACCAGTCAAATATCAATGGAAATGAGGAGATACAACTTAGCAGTACTGGGAATCAGCGAAACCCACTGGACAGAAAAGGCTAGCTACGGGAGAGATGCTGCTATACTCCGGTCACGAAGAGGACAATGCTCCACATACTCAGGGAGTCGCTCTTATGCTGTCCAAAGTAGCTCGAAATGCACTTGTAGGATGGGAATCTCACGGATCCAGAATCATCAAAGCATCATTCAGAACAAAGAAGGAGGGGATCTTAATGAATATTATCCAATGTTATGCACCCACCAATGATAGCAACGACGACATTAAAGATCAATTCTACGAGCGGCTGCAGTCAGTGATAGAGAAATGCCCAAGAAAAGACCTCACCATTCTAATGGGAGATCTAAATGCCAAAGTCGGAATAGACAACACTGGATATGAAGATATTATGGGACGACATGGACTGGGAGAAAGAAACGAAAATGGAGAAAGATTTGCAAATCTATGCGCATTCAACAAATTGGTCATAGGAGGCACAATATTTCCACACAAGCGTATACACAAGGCTACATGGATCTCACCGGACCACACTACAGAGAACCAAATAGATCATATTTGCATCAACAAAAAATTCCGAAGGACAATGGAGGATGTGAGAACCAGGAGAGGTGCTGACGTAGCTTCAGATCACCACCTAGTTGTAGCCAACTTAAAATTGAAGCTAAAAAAGAACTGGACAAGTGGACAAACAGCAATACAAAGGTTCAATACAGTCTTCCTTCGAGATACTAACAAACTCAATGAATTCAAGATAGCTCTCAACAACAGGTTCCAAGCCTTACGAGATCTACTGAAAGAAGAAGAAACTACTATGGAGGACAACTGGAAAGGCATCAAGGAAGCATTAACTTCAACGTGTCAAGAGGTTCTCGGTCTAAAGAAATACCATCATAAGGAATGGATCTCTACAGAAACAGTGGACAAGATCAAAGAAATGAAGAACAAGAAGGCAGCAATAAACAACAGCCGAACACGATCAGAGAAAGTCCAAGCACAAGCTGAATACATAGAAGCAAACAAACAAGTGAAGAGGAGCATTAGAGCCGACAAGAAGAAATACGTTGAAGAACTAGCAACGACGGCAGAAAAAGCTGCTAGAGAAGGAAACATGAAACAGCTTTACGATACAACAAAGAAACTATCAGGGAAATACAGTAAACCAGAGAGGCCGGTCAAAGACAAAGAAGGCAAGCCAATCACCGAAATTCAACAACAACGTAACAGATGGGTAGAATACTTCGAGGAACTCCTGAATAGGCTGGCTCCAATGAATCCACCGGACATCGAAGCAGCACACATAGATCTTCCTATAGATGTCAATCCACCAACTACGGAAGAAATTAGAATGGCCGTGAGACAAATCAAGAACAGGAAAGCAGCAAGACCCGACAACATACCAGCTGAAGCACTGAAATCAGACATCGAAACAACCACAAGCATGCTTTACCTTCTATTCAAAAAGATTTGGGAGGACGAACAAGTGCCGATGGACTGGAAAGAAGGACACCTCGTCAAGATTCCAAAGAAAGGAGATCTGAGCAAATGTGAAAACTACAGAGGCATAACACTACTGTCAATACCAGGGAAAGTCTTCAACAGAGCGTTGCTGAACCGGATGAAGGATGCAGTAGACGCCCAACTTCGAGATCAACAAGCTGGATTCCGTAGGGATCGGTCGTGCACAGACCAAATTGCTACACTACGGATCATCGTCAAACAATCAGTTGAGTGGAACTCATCATTATACATCAACTTCATTGATTATGAAAAGGCATTCGACAGTGTAGACAGGAGGACGTTATGGAAACTTCTTCGACACTACGGAGTTCCTGAGAAGATTTTCAATATTATCCGGAACTCATATGACGGACTACAGTGCAAAGTAGTGCATGGAGGACAGCTGACAGATGCATTCCAAGTAAGGACCGGAGTCAGACAAGGCTGTTTACTCTCTCCCTTCCTTTTTCTCCTGGTGGTCGACTGGATTATGAAGACCTCAACATCTGACGATTTGGACTTCGCAGATGACCTAGCCCTCCTATCACGTACACACGAACAGATGCGGATGAAGACAGCCAGTGTAGCAGCAGTCTCTGCATCAGTAGGCCTCAGCATACACAATGGGAAAACTAAGGTCCTCAAATTCAAAGCGGAGAACAGCAATCCAATCACTCTTGATGGCGAAACTCTGGAAGATGTAGAATCCTTCACATATCTGGGAAGCATCATCGATGAACAAGGAGGTTCAGATGCAGACGTAAATGTGAGGATTGGCGAAGCACGGATCGCATTCCTACAATTGAAGAACATATGGAACTCAAAACAACTTTCAACCAATACCAAAGTGAGAATCTTCAATACGAACGTCAAGGCAGTTCTACTGTATGGAGCTGAAACTTGGAGAACTACAACAACCACAATCAAGAAAGTACAAGTATTTATAAATAGCTGTCTTCGCAAGATACTCAACATCCATTGGCCGGATACCATCAGCAACAGCCTTCTGTGGGAGAGAACAAACCAACTTCCAGCTGAAGAAGAAATTAGGAAAAGACGATGGAAATGGATAGGACATACATTACGCAAATCGTCAAACTGCATCACGAGGCAAGCCCTAACTTGGAATCCTGAGGGGAAGCGAAAAAGAGGAAGGCCAAAGAACACATTGCGTCGGATAATAGAAGCAGATATGAAAACGATGAATTACAACTGGAAGGAGCTAGAAAGGATTGCCCAGGACAGAGATGGATGGAGAACGCTGGTGAGCGGTCTATGCTCCTTCACGAGGAGTAACAGGCGTAAGTAAGTAAGTAACATTAACTATACTGATGAAAGCTTCATCTGCAAATGCACAGGATTTTCTGAAGTGAAGTTGAGCACTGACTTCGTGTACGGGAATCTGCAGCACCTAAAAAAGACACTTCTTTTGGCCCGGATATGGTTCATTTTACTATACTGAGGGAAGCTTCAATCTTGGCAACACCTCTTAGCGTGCTATTCTTGCACTCGCTAAGCAGAGACAAATTGCCTGAAATTTGGAATCTTACTCATATCACACCAATTTTTGAGGTAGGTTGACACAGCGAGCCTTCAAGCTTCCGACTGGTAGCTCTATACCCTCAGAAATTATGGAGTCTCTGATATGCGACGGCATACACAACTATTTATTATCCCTAAACTTTTTTCACCCCAACAGCACGGTTTCAGGATTGGTCATTCTTGTATAACCAACCTGTTGACTATGGTTGACATATGAACAACCATCCTTAATAGGAAGGGGAAGGTTGACGTCATTTACCTTCACTTCTCAAAAGCTTTTGATAGAGTCAACCATATATGTCTTATCAATAAGCTCAAACGATTAGGTTTCAAATCACCTCCAATTGACTGACTCACTTCATATCTAAAAAATCGACGTTCTAAGGTCAGGGTTAACTTCACTTTCTTTCAGGCTATGGAGTGTTCTGGACAGGTCCCTCATGATCCAGTACTGGATTCTCTTATTTTCTTGATTTAGATAAATGATCTTCCATAATAGGTATCGTCTGACTTATTACGTCTTGCTGAAAACATCTTGTTGAAAAGGAATTTTTGAAGAGTTTGACGGAAGAAATTTCCACATAATCTTCAGCAGTTTTATCCGTCCCCATTTAGAGTACGGAAACATAGTATTCCCTTTCTCATTCCAAAAGGATAAAGACACCCTGGAACGCATCCAAAGGCGAGCCACAAAATCAGTTCGTGGACTCAAATTCAAGCTTTATGAACAGCGCATCTAATCACCGAAACTTTACCCATCAGTGTACAGGCGTCTTTGGGGTGATCTTTTAATGGCTTACAGAATCCTTAACACTTATTGACATCCTTCTAAATACTTACTTAAGTTTAGCTCAAACACAAACCTGTGGGTAACAAACAGAAACTGGAAACACAACCTGTACAGCTTGAGAATAGTCAAATGCTGGAATTCGCTGTCGGCTGAACTAGCCCAAGCGACTTCCTAAAAGTCCTTTAGGAAGAAACTGCCTGTAGGTATTGGTGATTCATTGCTACTAGACACGGAAGCCCGTTAAGCAAAAGCTTCTTCTACTCCTCCCACAATCATTTGAACCATTTGAGCCATTTTAACTTGAATAAGACAGAGGAAGCAAATGACCACAACATTTTTAAATTCAAGAATTCTCCCCTTCAAACGGAGCTGCTCTACGTTTTGTTATTGAAATTTAGCCACTATTAGTTCACACATGAATGCTGAAAAGATTTCGCTCTCTGATTCTATTCAGTAAGTTTTCCGATTTTAAATATTTGTAGGCTGTGTGACCTTCACGATAACACTCAGTCTACGTACTTTGATTTGTGACGTGTTTTAGTAGTCGGGTTTTCGTGAGAGTTGGCAAATATTGAGTCTCAATATACCTTGTCTAAAACAAAGCTTTCATATTACTTTTATCTGTTTCGGCTGCTTCACACTGATTTGAACTAGTAGAAAATACACAAAGGCACTAGTGCCTTTTTTATGATTCAATATTTTTAATTCCGAGATACTTAGTCGAACTGTTTCTCCCACATCTCAACAGTATTTATTTTCTGACAATATATTAATTATTATGCTAGTAGTCCAACTAATTAGTTTACTGGTTGTCTGGAACTCGTCAAAGAATTCATGTACATCTAACAGTATCATATATTTCCTCCTATTACTTATTACTAAGGTGTTTACTTATTTGGCAGTATCGGTGCAGTTTGGGGAGGTATTATGCATTACTATACCTTCTTGACCAACCATTATTAATGACTTTTCAGTGTTTCAGTAAAGCTGTTTCATTATTAATCGATATTAGTAAATGGATCATCATACATTGTTGCGTTGTACAATACAGTACCGTTGCGTCATCTTGATGAGAGGAATAAGAATTTGCAAAATTATCACCAAGGCAAGTTAAGTTGCCCAAAGTGCATTCAGACAGACGTCTGCGTTTTGTTAATTTTATCAGCTAATTTGGTTTTGAAAGTATAAGATATGCAAGTTAGTTTGGAATTATCTCGAATGTAAGTAAGAACTTGATGTCGAAAATGAAATAGAATGAAACTGGTATGTCTGAGTTCGACTAAGTCTTCCAGTGTACAACAGAAGTCCATGTAGGTTACTGCATAGCTACTGTTAGTTTAAATATGTTCGGTCATGCGCTATAACCATGGTATGTAAAAGCTTGTTGGGTCTGTAGATTAGCTACTGAGTATTGAAAATACACAGGTTTTATTATGAACAGTCTGTGCAATGTTTGACTTCCTTGAAACGGATCGTATCTCGACATAGACATCTACAAATTACTGTTTAAGATGTCTTGTGTGCTATGATTTTTACTTTAGTGGTTGAAGGATAATCATTCATATTCACTACGTTCCTTCATCACTTGTTATCCACTACGATGTGTAATGATTGTTTCTTATGCGAAGTACCAAACTTTTAGGCGTGAATCAATTGAATCAAAGTGGTTTGCCACTCTACTACACTTTGCATTGGTTCAATTTTTAGAGCACCTCAGTCTACAGTGGATGTATATGTCCACCTATTTACCTTAATGTAATTTTGTTTATTCATTTGTCTTGTTTTTTAGTTGTTCGGATTGGTTCACCTTGTTACCTACCCCATATTTGTATATATATTGTGCAATTTGTTACTCAAATTGAATGTCGATCATGGATTGTATGAATTCGGTAGATTCTTCACCTCCAGTAGTGCAAAAGTCTGCAAATGACTTGAGAGAATATAAAGTGATGCGTTTATGCAATAGGATGAAAGTGCTTCTTATAAGTGATCCGGAAACAGATAAATCTGCAGTGTGTTTGTCTGTGAACATTGGTATGTTGATGGTAGTTGTTTCAGTGTTATAATTCTAGGTTCACTGTCGGATCCGAAAGAACTGCCTGGTCTCGCACACTTTTGTGAGCATATGTTGTTTCTTGGTACGAAATCATTTCCAACTGAAAATACCTATTTGAAGTACATAACCGATCATGGTGGTCACTGTAATGCTTTTACGAGTCCAGATAGAACTTCTTATGTGTTTGATGTTGCACCTGAAAGTTTGAAAGGTGCATTGGATATTTTCTCACAGTTTTTCATCTGCCCTCTTTTCACCGATTCTGCAACAGAACGTGAGGTTAGTTTTAATCTGGTTACTGTACATGGCAAGCGTTTGTTTGTTAGTTTGTTGTGAATGGAACGTGGTTTCAATACTACGACAATGATTTTCGTCTCGATGCACAGGTTTTTTTCAAAGAAATGTTTGGTGCATATGAGAGTTTCTATCAGTTGTTTCATTAATTACGTGCAAAATTAAAAATGTTTAGGTGGTGTGATATGATATTAAGTTGGTGGTATGAGGTCACTAAATTCAAACATTCAAGGTTTTCTAAATATCATAGCCCGATCAATTATATGATATGTTTTGAGTTTTACCTCTGGGCTCAGAATTGATGAACACCACCTATAATTTTACAGTGAACAATGATTTTACATGATTTTGATTGATTTTATGAACACCGAGTAAGTAATATAGTTGTTAGGAAACGGGTACTAGGTAAGAATGGCAAATCAATTGATGAAGTAGTGAAACTTCATCAGTTGAGATGGCTGGGACACGCGTTACGTATGCTCAACCAACGGCTACCCCGACTTGCGATGTTTTATGGTGTAGGAGTAGGTTGGAAGAAAACTAGGGGTGGCCAGACCAAAACATGGCACAAATCCATGAAGTGGACCGAGCCATGTTGGTAGGTGTAGACTACCTGGTTGGGATCCGCCTGACGATAGTAACTGGTGGTTAGAGACCTTGGATGACATGGCTCAAAATCGTTTGCAATGGTGCAGGTGCATCCACTTATTGTATTCTCCCGAATTCTAATCTCCTGAATCCTCCTTGTCTCTTTTTTCTCTTCCCAAGTTTATTTCACTGGATTATAATCTTTAGACAACATCTTCGAACCCTGATGTTTCCGATTACTTATTATACTCTTACTAACTCTACCACTACGGGATTTGAATCGACAACTGCATCTCTGTGCTAATGTGGTGTGGCAACTCTAACTGATGTACGTATGTACGAAGTTGTACGTTGTTACTGACTATGAACATGTGTCAACTGCATTTCGGCTGTCAAATCAGGTTTGTGGTAGTTATAAAGCATTTTCTGAAGTGATGCATTAAATGTCCTGCTTCGGTCTGGACACCCGAGTAGTATCACAGCTCACACTCAAATCAAGTAACTTGTGTGAAGCTTATGTATTCAGTGCCCCTTTGTATCAATATTTATGTGATCAAACAACAAACATTAAATGTATTAAAACTGGTTTCACAAAACTTTGTTTATCGAATATTGCTATCCACTATGTGTGCACAGATTGGTGTTGTAGGTCGTCCTATTTCTTACTCTATTGAGTACATCTTTCTCCGTTCGAGAATGAGATTATGTGTAAATTATTGTAATATGCAGCACGTGTAGGTGATGTGCCTCTTCCATTATATTCAAGGTTGTATTCTGAATGCAGTAGTCCAATATCTGCTTCCGCTTCACTGTAGTACAGCTGCAATCGTAGTGACCGACAAGCTAGATGGAGAAATATAGATAGTCTCATCAGAATGTTTTGTATTGTATTTATAAAAGATAAACCAGGGTACACCTGTCTTGTACATATAGATAATAATTGATATTGAGAAAAGTACGACTAATATATTAAAAAGATAAGCAACTAACGAAAGAGTAGCTATAGTCATAATGGATTTCCAGGTTATAGTTTCGAAACTCCGTTTATTCACCTGATTTTAGATAGGGTGTTAGTATCTCTCGTTTGCGGACACTAGCTGGTTATTTTAATGTAGATATTATGCAACTTTGTTCTAAATAACGAAGGTAAAGTCTTTCGACTTCATGAAGGATTATTTTTGTGATTATTTCATATTTTATTGTAAAATGTAATAGTTGGATGCCTTGTACTGCTTAAGATTTTGTGCTTGTGTGGGTAATTTTGTTTCAACGAAAACAGTTATGGCAAAGCACCAGTGCGTGCCGATCCGTGTGACGGTGTTAGTGCATAAGTGATGTCAATCAGAAAATAAAGCCTACTACTGCAGATAACGGTGTCAAGAGTATATTGAAGTTAGAGTGAGAATAGGGGATAAGAGTGAAATCAAAATGTAATTTAACTTGATTGATATAAATATGTTAAAATTGGAAATTCATTTGAATTGTGGTCAATTTTGAAGCATATATATATATATATATGGTTATTATTGATAACCTTTGTCATTTCAATTCTTTACATTCACTTATGTCAATCGTTTCACACTATATCTTACCTCAATGTAATATTTAAACACATATTTAGTTGTAAGCAGCTGATAAAAAAGTACAAAATATGATGAATTCATTTTATTCTGCATCCATGTTCGTTCTCGCCTAGTATAAATTTTGAAGCGCATTGCGGAACTGATCACAGATATTATTTTATTCGCACATTTTGGTTGAATAATGATCGTCAAAAATTGGTTTGTAAAGGGACTTGTTATCCATTTTAACGCAAATGCGGTATTATATTTTGAATTTCGTAGCGAACTGAAAAAATTTCTTACGCTTTTTAATTGTGGTCGTATCACTCTTCCGAATTCTCAGGTGAAGACCGTTAAAATACATGCTCCCAGAACTGATATCGTCATCACTATATTTGTAAACAGAAGGGACTTGATTGTATTGTTTTACCCTCTGTTAGCTTGGTAATAGACGTTTTCTAAATAAAAGTGCTATGCTTCGAATTTTTGAGAGCCCTGCATTCGTTTTCTGTAGTTATCAATATGGAGTTTATTAGCTACTTTATTTAAAACACTTAGTAATACCCGTTGGCTTAGTCAATTATACTTGTTTGGTGGTACTAGTACCAAGTGACAACGTCATAGATAATTTACCGTAATAATCTTACTGTTTTGACTACCACTAACAAGCCACGTTTTAATTTTAGGTGAGTGCTGTACAGTCGGAACATGAGAAGGACATTAGTAATGATACTAGACGTCTTTTTCAGCTAGAGCGAAGCTTGTCAAAAAGTGGTCATGATTATACGAAATTCCTCTCTGGTAATCGATACTCTTTATTTGAGTCGAGTTGTGCACAATCGGTGAATACACGCGAAAAGTTGTTGCAATTCTATTCAACATGGTATTCGTCAAATGTGATGGGACTAGTTATTCTTGGAAGAGGTACATAACATGTAGTATTGTTGAATTGAGATTGATTGTTGAGGTTGCTGACTTTTGAGATGTAAATTTCTTTAAAAAAAATAGATGTAACTAAACCGTTTTATACAATTTGAACACATTGTGATGTCAGTTTGTCGAGATTATTAGTCTTTATTAATATTTGGTACATTACCTATAGTTTGTTCACACTGGAGATCCTTGACGTCATATTTTCTAGTATATTTAGATTGCCGGATACGTTTACCACGAAGTCAAGAATTATAATGACCCATAATAGGGCTACTTTGTTTTAAATAATTAACTATTGTGTTTAATAACATGTAAAGAGGTTTTGGACTGTGGTTTTAAGATGTTACGTGAAATATCGTTATTATTATTTTTTATTTTAACACATAGATATTGATACAGGGAGGCACCAAATACATATGCGCCACACGAATCTCATTCGATATGTGTGAGGGCTGTGGTACTGCCCGGGTGCCCGAACCGAAGCAAGTTGTTTTCTTAGGGGGCAACTCCCCGAGCCTTCGACCTGAAGGTCTGATCCACAATGCAGTGGAGCATCGTAAGGAGATGCAGTCCCATGGTTGCCGGTTACCAACGATTGGTTCATACGTCATTTGTTCCCGTAGGATACTGGAGCCCATGTGCACCATTGGTTTGGTTTGGGATCCGGTTAAAGCGCCGGACATTCGCTTTTCGTCCTCTCATTTTCGTAAACACCCCCGTGGTGAGAGAAAGCAGTGAGTGGGACTTCCTTGGCAGAGGCTATATACGCGTGGTCATGTGAGAGCATTTCGAGAAGGAGAGCGGACTCTCCCCACTCTCGGCCGTACCAGGGCATTTGGGGGCCAATATCGTTAGGTTTTGTTACTCACATCTAAGTTAATTGAACGTGGGGAAAATACGGTCGATCAGTGTCCGTGAACTCTTTCGGACTTTGAATTTGAAGAACGTAATTATACAGAAGAGTAATCAAGTGTTATCGCGATAACTAAAAACTAGTTTGTTTACAAAATGCGATCAAATGTAAGTCATTATCATGGCTTTTCCACACTGTTCATCTGTCTCGTCGGAAATTGAACACAATCATTTTATTTTAATTTTGATCTGTTAATCACAGGTGACAAAATGTGTTAGTGATAATGACTTCAGTGTATTGGAATCGATTACCTACAATTATGAGTTGACGATAAGATTGAATATTTTCAAGTTGTTCGTACAGATGAGGATAGTTAGTATGTCAATGTATGTAGGGTTGAGAGCATTTGGAGAGCAGGTTCTTCAGTTTATAAAATCATTCATACGTTTCATCACAATACTAAGCATGATTGGCTTCCACCAGACGACTCTGGAACTGTTATCATACTAGTTTTTTTTGACATGTTGTCTCCTGATTGATCATTAAGTCAGGATGTCAGACTAATATTCATTCTGTGTTATTCTGTTCATGTATTAGTTAGGGCATCTATTTTATGTGTTAGAGTCTTTGACGCAGTGGCCATGGAAATCAAGGTATTACCAAGTAAACTCATAAGCTACTCAATAATCAGATTGCTTTTAACAGCTATTATGTCTGGATTATTTTGTTTTTGGTTACTGACGATGATTCATGGAGAGTACTAGATAGGTGAGGAAGAGAACATGTGTAGAGCGAAGCTGGTTAACAAATTGGCTGAGAAAGTGGTACAATGCTCCATTTTGTGACTCATATCTAACTTCTGAATCAGATATTTCCGACTTGTGTGTGTTACAAACATAGCGACTACAAAATCGTTTAGTTTGTATTTCGTCGTTTAATTGGAATTGGTTTTAAATATTAAGTGTGATCAGTATTTACGTTTTCTTCGTGTTTGTGATTGTTTTTTGTGAAATGTTTTTAGAATCCATAAATGACCTAGAGAAACTTGCAGAAGATAAGTTTTCGGAAGTTATTGATCGTAATGTTGTGCAACCATCATGGAACGATACTCCATGGCCTGATATATGTCTCAAGGTAACACTTTCATTTGACTATTATTATATTTAATATGTTTTGTGAGTAGAACTATGCATATATGATCTTGATTGTTGCTTATGTGTTTAGTCTAGAAGATAATTAGTTGATTCCAAAAGGTGTTTAAGTTCATATTCTTGATTGTCACTACTTATGCCGTTTGGATGCTGCGTTTTTCAAAGTTAGAGTAGGTTACTGTAAATTAGATGTTGAATCATTATAAAGAATCGTGAAGCAGGTTATGTGGTAATATAAAGAGTGATAAGAAACAGTTTTGTGAAGATAGTTTTTTGGTGAGCGATGTGACTGTTGATTGCCTATAGTATGACGAACACGTAGAATGTGAATTTGGATACATTGAAATAGGTGTAGAAGAGAATAATGGCTTAGTAATAATGTTGCGTCGAGTGTAAGGATGTGATAAATAGTAACCTGATCATTGTCTGTTATTAAAGGTATGCTGAAAATGAATTTAATGGTTCCTTTGCAATACTGTTGTTTTACCTGAGATTCAAACGTATGAAAATAACAGTTGATAGTTATTGAGCGTTATAGTTTCCAAGTTGGTATATGGAATAACGATGATGTGAATTTTGTTTTTATCGATATGAGCATATTGATTGATATTAGTCTTTTAGTTGTTAATTACTTTCTAGCCTGTAGAATGTCTCGTGTGAAGTTAGCTTTTCTCTGATGTCAAATTTGTATCAGTGGCTTCATGGCTGTGAGAAGCATCAGTACAGTGCAATACTACTAGGCATTGCCGGAGATCAGTGAGAATAATATGACTGAGTAATGCCAATCACATTTCAGTTAGTGTTCTATTCAGAAATCAAAGTCATGCATTTTGAATTTTAAAAAATTAGAATATGTCTGTGCTAGAATGTGGATTGCTTAGTTATCGACCTGTAGAATCGGAGTTGTGCTGTCACTGTGATTGTAAACTGCGAATGAAACCAATGATTTATTTTCCTTGAACTATGTAATGTTTATCGAAATATTATTATATTGTAATTTGGTAAATTAGAGAATTAAGGTAGAATAAATGTACATTTTGATTTTATCACAGAAAATGGTATATGTCGTCCCACTGAATGACGTCCATCAAATGAATATAATGTGGCCTATTCCTGACTATATTCCAGACTATACAGCTCAAGTAAGTTATTCTTTTGAAGTGGATTGATCCGTTATGCACAAATGCAGATTCATTGTTCATTTTATTTTTTTCGTCTATATTGTTTCGAAATGTTGACGTGTGTCAATCAGTTTTTACATTTACTTATAATCGAGAATGATTTGCACTAATAGTTTTGAAATTTGTATTTTCGACTGATAAATGTTGGTTCTGTGATAGAAGATGTGTGTTAAATTATGAAATAAGTGTTAACCGGAATTTTGTATTTGTGACTGAATAGATTTTACATCTAATTTCTAACCGTTACATCGTATATTGGGATGTCGTTCTAATATCTTACATTTTGCTCAGTTATCTTGTAGATTGCTTCCTATTGGTTAAGGTATTAGACATATTAAGTGGTTTGATTAGTTTTTACCAAGATTTTACGTTTGTGAAAGTGCTAACAATCGAAATTTCGCGAAGGGTTCTCTTTTCAACGAATTTATGATCAAGCTGTACAATTGTATGTATATATATGAAATTTTTTTATTAAAGTACTATTTTCGTGAGGAAATGTGAATAAGGACTAACCAAGATGATGTAATAGAAGGATTATAATACTAGATTGCTTAATAGGGAAAAAATTTTCATATATATAGGATTGTACAGCTTGATAATAAATTCGTGGAAAAGAAATCCTTTCGCTGAACTTCGTGTTTTTAATGTTAAAATGGTAATTATCTGTCATTCGAAATTTGCATATTGCTAAGCACCTTTATTCATGGAGGTCATTTTATTATTGTCTGACATCAAGTAAAAAATGACTTAAGACAAAATAATTATCGTGCGTCTAATTTTATTATAGTTATGTAATATGTCATTTAGTTAAAGCTTAAGTTAGAACGAAACGCTTTATTTTAGGCTTCCCTTTTTTTCAAGTTTTCAGGCGGCATGTATTTTATTTACATGAACTTTTCAACTTGAATAGTCTTGGCAAACTACTATATTTGTCTTAATTAATCATTCACCTTTTTACCTTTTTCATCCAACTGTTTACAGGCACCTAGTTATGTGACTCATTTACTTGGTCATGAAAGCCGCGGAAGTTTACTGAGTTTATTCAAAAATGCAGGCTGGGCTAATCGATTAGCATGCGGAGTTAGTAGGCCAGCAGCTGGGATCTGTTCTCTGATTTTGTCTATTGATTTAACTTTAAAAGGACTTGGTGAGTTAATTATCAGTTATATTTCTTATCTTCAGCTGTTATTATGCCTGATTATATATGTGTTTTAGCTAAATGAGTTTAAGGTATAAATAAGTATAACAAAAAAATCCCATGGGGATGTTCCATGGAGAATTTTCTTTTCGATGGTATATAGACTTAAATGTCATTTAATTCATTTTCAATTTTCTTATCTAGATAAAACTGATGAAATTATGACAAATGTATATCAATACATTAACATGCTTCGCTCTGATGAACCACAAAAGTGGATATTTGATGAAGAACAGGTAGGATATTAATTTTTCTTCGACTATTTCGAACTTTAACTAAGGAAGCTTATTTTGTTGAGATGGTTATGCTGCATTACTGTTTGTTTGATGAAGATTAACTATTTTGTTATCAATCGGTTATGTACATTAACACAGTCATTTGTTCGTTTCAGTTCCCACATCACGCAATTAAAAAATGAAAGGAGATAAATAAAAATAAACATTAGAGCTTTAGAGCTATTATTATTTGTAAAAACAACGGTTAAACATTTAGAATTGTAGTTTTTTGATTATTTGCAAATGTGATTTGATACTATGATGAGATATGTTTTTATATATTTATTTCTTTTTATTATTTTGAGTTATAATAATTGTATAATTAGGTTATGAGGTCGCTTCTGAAGTGGAGGTCATGCATTGGATTTTCTACATTTGTTACATAATACATTAATTAAATGTAAGGTCGTTGACTGAGTGGGTTGGAGGAGGCCTATGCTCCATTGGGAGTAACAGGCATAAGTAAGGTCGTTGATTTGAATTTAACAAAATCAAAGTTGGTAATTATTTTCGAGGCTTTTACTACAGTCTGATCTGTATTATTTGTCATAATTCCCCAGCTTTTAAATATACAAATTGTTGTAGATGTTAATTCCTCCCTGGGTTACAGTTGTTCAGTACGATTAGTCCTGTGACTAATAATCACTTTATTAAACCGGAATGTAATTAACCTTATTTGACTTAACTAATCTTCTGGAGTCTAGCCAAATAATTCTTCCTCCGGAGGTTTGTGTTTTTAAGTGGTCGGGGCTAAGAGCGTCGTACCGTAGTTCAAAGAGGTATTAGAAATTTTGCTGTACTGCAAATTCTATCAAATGTACAACCTTTTATCTTGGATTGTGATCATTATATTTATAGTGCTAATGTTTAATGTTATACATTATCATACTGCTTGTTTCCAATTATGATCATTCACTTACATCCAGACTTGAAAAAAAGCAGTTGCTTAGGGCAACCTTTTTTTACGTTAACCATGTATGTAAATTAGTTTCTAACTATAAATCAATATGATTTATTCAATGGATTTTTCTTCATTTATAGGCTTTATGTCAATTAAACTTTCGATTTAAAGACAAAGAACCACCTTATGAATATGTGACTGGATTAGCCGGTAATCTATTGGTAAGCAACTTCTAAAAAGTCAACAATTATTGCCTTGTAAGACCTTTCAATTGTTCGTGCATGAAATTGACTATTTTAAATCAAAGAAAGATTTCTGACAATAATCGAGAATCCAGTCGATGTTTATATTTATTGTTTTGTTTTTTTAAATTCTATTGGTTTTTTTATATCCCAACTATATTAATAAAGAAGCAATATGTTGTTCAGTGTTTCTCCCTGTTTTATGTTTAACTGTTGTCTGTAATGCAGGGTACGACATAATAACTGGTATTCATATGTTCTTCGGAGCAGTGTTTATAGTTAAAGAAACTGCGAAATTCTCAATACATTTTTCCCTATTTAGTTACTATCTACTAGAACATAACATATTGAATGTGTTTTAAGCATATTAGAGACCAGGTTGTACTCACAATTGTTTTCATGAGTTCATTCCTCAAAATCTTAAATAACTTACTGCCTCTTGTTTTTATTTATTCTGTTTATCCTATACATGTTATTGTCGTAGTTCTCACTTTTTAAGCTAACCTATTTCTTCTGCAATGCTATGAAGTGGGATACCTTAAACGACTGCACTTTCTTGTAAGTATTCACGTTTTACTCTGCTCATTTCGATTTCTCCCTTTTCAAGCTTAAATCATACTGGCTATGTATCAGTTCATTCATTTATGGTAATCAAAAAAGTGGATTTATACGAACAATCGAAGCATTTTATTTTCCCACTATTTTCTCTTTCATTTCTCTTAGCTGCATACAGCACTAATATTTGGTACTGATCTACTTTTCATAATTTTTCGGAAGAAATAGGTTGTTCTGAAAGGAACTATTCAACATACTATAGTGATGATAAGGCCATAAAATCATTCCTTAATATCTGTAATAACCTCTTCCCAAAGCCTGGTAGCTATTCTAATATCAAGCTATCTATTTTCTACCTGCCAATGTTTTAACTGAATGAATAGTGTTAGCTGACGAAAGTTCCATAACGTTTAGTCTAAAGGATTAATAAGTTATATAGATTATTGAATTATTCCCATTCATTATATCATTTTTCTTATTTTGTCCAGTTATCATGTCTTCTACGGGCTGATTATGAATACAGTGGTCTCGAGTGCTGTTAGAGGTTCTGTGGCAGTGTCTGTCATTTAAAGGCGTACCTCAGAAGTACATAAACCTTGTGAAGGCTCTTTACTCGAACACTACCAGTCGAGTCAGAGCTTATGGCGAACTGTCATCTGCTTTCGCAACCTCAAGTGGTGTCCGTCAACTGTCCACTTTCTCCATTTAACTTAATCATAGACCTACTGATGGAAATAACTTTCTCGTCGACTGAATTATCGGGTATTGATCTCCTTCCAGGAGGTTCACTTATCGACTTCGAATACGCAGATGATATAGTCCTGTTTGGTGAAGACGCTGACAAAATGCAAAGTGTTTTGATAGCACTAAGCAACAATGCCAGAATGTTTAGAATGCGCTTCTCTCCCTCTAAATGCAAGTTGTTGCTTCAGGACAGGCCTGCGTCAACACCTGAACTAAGGATAGGGAGTGAAGTAGTTGAACGCGTCGACAACTTCACTTATCTTGGAAGTCTGATGAAATCTCAGCACGGATTTGAAAAGCTCGTTTGGCTTTTGCCAAATTACGTCACCTTTGGCGAAGGCGAGATATCCGTCTATCAATAAAAGGACGAGTATACTGCGCGGCAGTCCGTTCTGTTTTACTTTACGGCAGCGAAACATGGCCATTAAGAGTAGAAGACACCCGTAAGCTACTAGTATTCGACCACAGATGCCTTAGAAATATTGCTGGCGCTGTTGGGATCACCGGGTAAATAATAGTGAGGTTAGACGCAGGGTATTAGGTAATGATGGTAAATCAGTTGATGAGGTTGTGAATCTTCATCGACTAAGATGGTTGGGCCACGTGTTACGTATGCCCGAACACCGATTGCCACGACGTGCAATGCTAACCGCTGTTGGAGATGGTTGGAAGAAAGTTAGGGGCGGCCAAACCAAAACGTGGCATCAGTGCTTGAAGACACTAACTTGTAGTCTGAGCCATGTTGGTAGATGCAGACTACTTGGTTGGGGTCCGCGTGACTTTCGTAACCAATGGTTGGAGACTCTTGGTGACATGGCTCAGAATCGATCACAATGGCGTCGGTGTATACACTCTTTGTCTTCCCTTAAACTAAGAGATTAAAATCGCTTCATATGTTTCTTTCTACGAACTAATTCTTTCTTCCTATACTATAACCTTATATGCAATCTTTCTCCTATATATTACCACCTTTGACCTAACCACTCCTATGAATCCGGTGTCCATCTTGTTGTGTTAATGAGGTATGGCAACTTGGACCGATGCATATATGTGCCTGGTCCTACGTTGTAGCTAACTTCTACGGGTTGAACTTTTCATATTGCTCGACCTGTTTCAAAATCAAAACACGACTTAAACAGGAGTGTATATGTATTTTGAAGGAAAGTGCAAAGTTAGTCACCCATATATCTATTAAAGTGATAGTAATTTTACGAACGGAATACGAATCACAATCCAATAATTAGTAAAATACCGAAATTTCTATTGAATAAATCGGTACATATATAAATATATTAGAAGTTGGTAAATAAAGTTAGCTTCAAATCAGTTTGTGAATTCCAAAATTAATTTTTTTTATAAATGTAATATTTTTGAATTCGCCGTTTCCAACACCAGTCAGTGTTTACCTCTTCAAAATATTTTTTCTAGCTTTATGACATGCAAGATGTTCTAACCGGTTCTTTCTTGGCAACTGTTTATAATCCAGATTTGATTAAAAAAATCTTAAGTTGTTTAACGCCTGATAATAGCCGGTATGTGATATTTGTCTTTTATAATGTTTTTGATTTGCAGTACCGTGTTAATATTTGTAGGTTTGAATATATGGTTTCTCATGTTTTGCCATCTGACAATCAAAATGTAGCTTATTCATTGTAATGTGGTGATTCTGTTTCTCCAGTTGATGCAACTTCAGCCAATACGAATAGTCAGAATTATTTGAATTAATAAGAAATACTAGTTGTTAGAGGTTTATAAAAGTATCTAACAGATCCAGATCATGTATAACTTCTCTCAGTGACATGTGTCTTATTCATTCAATTATTTTACAATATTTATAAATAAATTTTTTACTTCATATTCTTTGTAAATATATGTTCTAAATTTTGGGAATCTTGATATCATGTTAGACAAAAGACACAAATATTACTATCACATAATCACAATGCTTCCCCAAAGAGACTAATGAGAGAAAAGGGAATACAAGGCCTCCCTGAATGTAGTTTAAGGTTTGTCTCATCTTTTTTCTAATGACGCGAATTGGGATAAATACTTCTGGAGTTGTACAGTTGTGTTTCAGTACCATAGATTAAAACCCATGATTAGCAGAGTAGTGCCCGTATCTCGATGCACTATGTTAGAATAGTTTCCGGAAGGAACAAAATATATTTATATATATACCATTATTTTGCAACCAACAAATCCGAAATATCTCTTAACTTTTTATGTAATGTTGTCTTTATTATATAGCATCTTTCTAGTCAGTCAGAAGTTTACAGATAAATGTGTGGAGGAAGAACCCTGGTATCATACTAAATACCTTGCTGTTAATATTCCTGAAAATACCTTGTCAGTAAGTCATTGTTCTTAGCAAATATTGTAATCGAAAATCTTATTCTAATTAAATATCGTTGTATAAATTGTATTTGATAATGCGAAGCTGTTGGATCTCATTTAAGACTGATCTGGATGTATACGTTCATCTGAATTTTATGAAGGTTTTTCGGTTAAAACTAGAACTGTGTTTGATTGCTTGAAATCCTATAGTTATTCGAATTGTGAGTAACAATAGCCATCGGTTATTCAGCAAAAAGTAGTTACAGAACCTTGGTCACGCGGTCGCGTGCCTAAACATGTTGTAACTAGCTATATATAGGCAATTAAAAATTTTCGAAGCATCAGTATCATTCATCCAGTATTGTTACTTGTGCAGAAAATACTAGACGTCATTGTTCAAATTTGTAAGGGATTGGCTCTTTCATTAAACTACTTGATATCCATGTAAAGAAAGCTATCAATTCTCCATTAATTTCACGTTGTGAAAATTAAAAGTTATTCATATGAGTTGTATATATATTTATGCGTTTTCTTCAGCACTTCTCGTTTTGTTTTTTGAGTTTTTTTGTTTCTAATAATTTGCTTCTTCGCCAATAGGCATGGCGAAATAGTCCTTCTAATCCAGAATTGAGATTCCCCGAGCCAAATTCATTCATTGCTACTGAATTCGATCTGGTGCAAAACAAATGCCCTACGAATGTTGAAATGCCAGAATTATTAATCGAAACAGAGATGTCTCGTATTTGGTACTTTCAAGATACAGAATTCAATCTTCCCAAAGGTTTTATCACATTTCATATTGTCAGGTTAGTTTTTCTCTCTCTCATTTATACTTATAAATACTAATGATTATTATCCTGAATAAGTGGATACTATTTCTTCGCTAGCAATATGGCATTAACTGGCTTATTATTATTAAGCTATTCGTCAGGTGCAGATTCTTGTACCTGTCTTTGAGGGACACTGAGTTTGGAGGTTAGTAATACCACTCGATTGCTGAAATTGAAGTGAATGAAGCAGTATTTAGATCTAGGATTTTATCGAACTTCTTAATCACTGATCCACCGTTCTACTTGTTTAGTTATTAGAAGTACATTTTTATCCCAATGGGGTGATAGCTTTGTACTAATTCGAATATTAAAACCACACTGTTATCCAGGCAGTAGGCTAATATCACTAGAGGCCATAGGAACAACTCATCTCAAACCCGCGTACGCTAATGTATGCTTGATATATTAGTCAGTCAGTCAGCTACAACGTAGGACCAAGCACATATATGCATCAGTTCAAGTTGCCACACCTCATTAGCATAACAAGATGATCACCAAATTCATAGAAGCAGTTGCTTCAATGTTGGTAATATATAAAAGAAAGATTGTATTTAAGGATATAATATATGGGAAAAGAACTAGTTCGTAGACGGAAAGTATGAAGTATTTTTTTATCTCACGGTTTAAGGGAAGACAAAGAGTGTATACACCAACACCGTTGTGATCGATTCTCAGGCATGTCATCCAGAGTCTCTAACCATTGGTTACGATAGTCGCGCCGACCTCAACCAAGTAGTCTGCATCTACTAACACGACTCAAACCAGAAGTTAGGGAAATATCACTTAAATTTATCTTGTCGTTGAAAGCTGACTTTTATAATCCCATGATATGTTGTTTTGTGCAGTTCATTTACCATGTTTATAGAATTTATTTAAGTATCTTAACATTACTCTTTAATTATTTTATTTGTAGTCCATTTGCATTTTTCGATCCTTTTCATACATCACTTTGTTTAATTTACGCAAACTTATTTGAAGATCATATTAACGAACTAACATATTCCTCTATGCTTGCTGGAATGACTGTTTATGTGAAGCACACTGTTGAAGGTATCAAGGTATGTAGCATACAAGTTTATTTTGATGTAATTACTTTAAATAAAGTTTGTTTTTTGTATGTTTATTGTCTGTCACTTCAAAAGTTAATTTGATTGGGATATAGACATTTAGGCTAATCAATAAAAAAATCATAGTGTCTACTTTTTATAGCTTGCATCAAAAAATGACCTTAAACAGATAACCATTGAAAACTAAGAAGAACTGACAGCTATTTTGTTCTAGTGTGTGACTTTTCAGCATCACGCATTCATGATGCCACCAGTGTTCAAACTCAGGGCCTTCGAGTCTTGCGAGGAACACTGTACCTGTAGATCACTGAGTCGGTTTACATTTTAGACTTTAATCAATCCGCAATATTGTTCTTGTATGCACCGCTTTTGGTAGTTAACTGTTTTGCTCTCAATGTAGTCGAATTCCACTAGTCTCATTTTAACACCGGGGAATCAACTTTCAAAATTAATCACCAGTAAGTTCATGATTTTAGTTCTTTCTGTCGTTTGATTTGCATCCTCTTAAACGTTTATTTTAATTTTTTAGCTATCATTTTTAGGATATTCGCATAAATTGAAAAGTTTTGTCAAAGAAATCGTAACAAAATTTGTGAATTATTATCAACCAGTTACTGACCGTTTCGAATGTATTCGTGAGAATATGTCTCGAGAGTTTTCCAATTTCTCAATGAAACCAGCTTATCAACAGTCCGGTGCATATTTAACAAGTCTTATTTCAGATCATTCTTGGATCAGTGATGATTTTGTGCGCGCTTTTAAAGGTGAATATTCCTCATGGATGTTTTGTGTATTTCATCTCTTCCGTTAATCATAAATAACACTAAAACTTGATATCAATGTTCAATTATCTAAATTATCATACTTTACCATTAGCCTACAAGGTGTAAATGAACAGCATAAAAAAGCATACACTTTACAATATATATATGCTAGTTAGAGCTAAGGATCGCTAAGATAATTCATATTTATTATATTACGGTATATATTTGTGAAACCATAGTCTAAATTCATTTAATTCGCATGCTCTCAAGCAATTTACAATATTACTTTCATGTTATTGAAAAGTATATCTTTTAACAATATCACATACTCAAAATATTTCATCTGTATAAATGATTATAGTTGTTCATTCAAACTCCAGATCGTTTCAATCCTATTTTTAAATTATGCAATATTTATGAATTGGATAATAAGAAAACAAAAAATGTGTGAAAATTGAGATGTGCTATACACTTTTTCAACCACATCTTTGTCGTACCAAGTATATACGAAGAAATAGTAGGAAAGCTAATAGTTTTTAGAAAGGCTAAACATTTGCAACTTCCAAGTACTACATTGGGTAAACACGAATAGTCACTGTCCACCCTGTAACCTTTTCCCTTATGTTTATTAATCATTTTCTATACTATCCTGAATATCTTGATTGAACAGTCCTTCTATGAATAGTAGCTTTGTCTGCTTAATATATTTGGTACACTGAATCACTCGACTGATGCTTCTTTTTGGTTCTAACAGAAAAACCCAACCCGTTTGACTACTTGCATTTGTTTAGATGATCTTACGAGTCAATTGTTTACAGCAATATCCATATCACCGTCTACTCTGTACTCGATATATGTTTAAATCTTAGCCTCCGATCATATTGATATGTACCAGTCATTTTTTCATTATTAACGCTCACCACAGTGAATCTCACGTGATTTTGTTACGCTCACTTTTAAGTGGATGTTGATACAAAAACGAAAATCTGATAAAGACTAACATAGAAAAATCTTGTGACTGGTAATATTGTCGGCTACGTTAAATAATTTTGTTAATAATAAATATGAGCTTACAATAAAGAATAATAAACGTTTTGTTTACAAATGTGTATGTAGAAATAGTACGATTACACTTAAAACTATTAAAGTTTCAATACAAAGTTGTCGATCAATAAATTTACTGAATTCAAAGACGATTATACATACTGTTTATAAAATCTTGTATTTATATTCCTTTCAAATAGTATGTATAGAGGATATGTACTAAGGCTATTTGTAGTTACCATTATCAGTACAACAATTTTAATCTATCACTTCTGTATATATTTAACAGAATATCTCGAGTGCTATTAGATGTATGAGGACGGTTATCACTTCCCGGTTTCCCCCATTGTGGAAGGGTTCTTCTAGAGAAACCTGAAAAGGTAATCGGGTTAGAGTTGGTTTTAATCACCTGAGAGCCTGACCGTAGTGCCCAAGGGACAAGTGCTTGAGGCCGGTCATACACGACCTTTTTGTTGGTAATTTTTGTGTTAGGTCCGTTCTTGTTGAGACCTTACCACCGGAGACGGATATCCGTGGGATAGGGCAGGGTGTACATTTTTAGGGTTGACCTTTCATAACTCCACCCTTCCTTTGTGAGAAGGCAACATTGTTGTCATGCTGGTCGTCTGAGGGAAACACACTGCCGTCACACTTCTGTGCAGTCAGCAATGCGACTTCGCCCTCGAACGTTGGGTTTGCCTCCTTTAATCTTACCGTTCTTCAACCGATCTACTTGTCATGATAACAGTTTGAAGAACGATTGTTCTAGACAGTATAGCTCGACTGGTTCATTACGATGAAAAAACCCGACCACCACGTCAAGGTAGCAGCAACGGTAGGAAAATATCTGGTCTACCTGTTCCTGCCTTCTGGGTATTTCAACAAGTTATCTGTTTTCTTGTTTGTTTTAACACATTATTAGGCCTATTAGTCGTATAATCTATTTAGATGCGTTTGTGAAAAGTTTACGAGATTTCGCTGTACAAGTTACAAAAGAGCCCAATCAGAGACATCGTGGTTGTTGGCAATATGCATCGAAAAGAATGTACATTATTCAGATGTCGATTCTTGAACTGCCAACATCCAACTGGCGACCACTCAATATTTATCGCAAGGGTAGATTAAGAAATAAGAAAAGGTAACTTGTTGAAATACTTTGGGCTGAGATTTCTATACTGTACCAAAAATATAATATTGAATAAAGACACCAATAATAATTGAATTTATTTGAATCTAATCTTATGTTATCAGTCAAGTAAAAATGTCTTTCATGATTACATTCTTAACTTAACTTTATTGTTTCGCTATAAATCTGTTTTTTTTACTTTTGTTCAAAATCATTTCATCATGTCATTTATGCAATTCTTTAAATTCAGTACATCAGCTCATAGATTTCTATAAGTATTAACTATGATCGGTCATTGTTTATTCAAATATTCTTTAATTGTCACTTAAATATATAAATCCTTTTATCATTTATAAATTTTAATGAATATATTATCGTTAGAGTAAAGATAATCTTCTTGTGATTTAATTATTTCACTAATTTTCGATTGAAATCTACTCAAGTTTGCCCCCTATTTCTGTATAATAATGAAAATACTTCATTTCCCGCCTAGAGGTTACGTACGAAAGGTTAATTAATTTCATCATGGAATTTCATGAACGCATTTTTATTGAAGGCCTTATCTATGGAAATATCACTGAAGAGGTGAGTATACAATAATATGATATATATATATATATATATATATATATTCTAGAACGAAAATTTGATCAAGCTTTCCTTATAGGTGGTTAGAATGTTACGATTATCTTTATTTATTTATTTATGTCTGGACAAATACAACACAACATGGGCTCTCGAATATAAACATTAAAACTGTGTTTTTTTAGAAAGCTATTCCTTTCCAACTTGAAAGTTCACAACAGTATGAGAGAGACGAATAGAAGGTTATTGGTATCTCAGAGATAGTAAAACACTATATATGCCACATTCTAAAAAATTTTCAGTTATCTCTTTTCATTATTCCCAAAACACGACAAGAAACTTTACAGCGATCACAACTAATTTCAATTAACGTCTGAAATCACTCAGTCGTATCCACAGGATATTATCAGTATTTTGTCGTTCATATCACAAAGGTCACTGCCTTTTGTGATTGTTTGTTACGTGTTCGTACATCGATTTTTGTGGTTTACAGTATACCTCGTACTTGCGTACACAACGCGCTATTTAAGTGCAAATTACGTTACTTACGCATCATACTGTGTCTGCTACAGATAGTAATCTTTCTTCGATTACGATCTAAAGCATTGATATTCATTAAATTTGTCGTTTCTGTAGAAAAGGCCTAAACCTTAAATGAAGTTATAACTAAATTGCTTTGTTACCTTTCTCTCTGGCGCGTCCGAGGTTGAGATGAGTTTATCGTCACTCAAAATCCTCATTAGGCCATGCTTTAATAGCCACTGCCAGGGAAGTTCTACTCACTGTCTTCTCAGTGCAGGGGCTGTTGTGCAAAGAAATGAAAGGATAGAAAGCGTATGATCGGCGTTTAAAGCGTGTTAATTAATATGGAGCATTCACCTGGGGGAGTTGAAAAACCCTTAATCTAAATCAATGGTGCACATAAACTCCAGGATCCTGAGAGACTATAGCGTATTCCATCTGGGTAACTAACGGACCTCCATATATCGTTTTGAAGTTTTTGTTGGATGAGGGGTGTAATATAATGCTATTTTCAAGGGTTTATTAGTTTAAATGAGTGGTTAATAGTATAGAAGTTAAGATATTTTCTATATTGAAAAGAAAGTAGATTTAACAATTTGGTTTAATACTTCACTAATGTACTATCTTTTTTAACTGGTCATAGCTACGTTTCAACTTTTCGTTTTTAGGATGCAATAAGTTATCACGAAATGGTTCGAAACTTGTTGGTACAAAAGATGAATTCTAAACCACTTTTACTGTCTCACATCTTAACCTCTCGAGAAGTAATAATTCCTGAAGGTAATCATCTTTGTCCACCACTCTTCCGCAAATACAGTTTATGATTATTTCTGACTATTATTCTACCTCTTTTACAATTTCGTTTTATTGCAATTTATTTCTAAAAGTGGTATTTGGGGATTCTATATTTTATATAATTAGCTATATTTGTATTGTTTGCAAATTGTCAAATGGCTAACTATGCACATAAATTTTCAAAGTGCTCACTTCGTCATAGGTTATTAGTCTTTGACCATAAATGCCTACGTATGTTTGGACCATTGAATAAGCGGTGTCAAGGTTGAACGTAGCCCATTGACTAGGTAAAGACTCCGAATCGGTCGATGATTCGTGAGTATCCATCGACTGAAATAGCTGTGGTTTGTATTACATATGTCCAAACACATCTACCACGAGTAAGAGTAAGTTGAAAGGAAGCTGAATGTTGAACTGAACTGCATTAGTAGGTACAGACTACCAGGTTTCGGCCCACGCGGTTATCGTAATGGTTGGTTAGTGGCATGGCTCAGAAGATCGTTCGTAATGGTGCAGTTACGTCTTCATCTGCTGGATGCCGAATTTTTAAATGATTGTAAACCTTTCTGTTCCACGAATTCATTCTTTTATTATTGAGATTATGGATCGACTGATGTTAGACCGCCATAGAAAACATGAAAGCACTGGACTCCTCAGCAGTGCGCGTCCACGATCCCGCTGAGCCCCATAATAGGGCGAGACAGTTGTTCAGTGCTTCCATGTTTCCAATGGTGGTCTACATCAGTCGATTCATGATCTCAGCCAAGAACTTAATAATCTCCATAACCCTATACTGATCATTCTTTTTTGTCGAGTCATATTCTTTATACCTAACCTTTCCCACAGATAGCATCTTTACTTCTAGTTCTCTGGTATTTGTCTTGACAATTTCATCTCGTGACGATATAGTGTGTCAGCTTGAACTGATGCACATGTGTGCAAGGTTCTACTTTATCTATCACTAATTGTCTCTTTGTCAAGGAAATCAGTCGAAACCTGGTCCATCAGACAGTCAAACTGTAGATTTTAGTGACATCATGTGTTGTCATATTACAAGACTTTTACTGTAATCAAAACCTTTGACTAAATGTTAGCTTACTCATAGTACTGCAAAAGGTGAAGTTATTTGTTATCCGAATTGTGTACATGATTTATTTTGTTGATTATTTTTATTCCAATTGTTTTTCTTATTTTATTTAGATTCCAGTTTTCTTTATCAACGATATATTTCTGGTCAACCGGCTTCTGCGATTTACTATTATCTTCAATGTGGTGAACAATCTACGTTTAATGATACATTGCTTAATTTGTTTTGTCAGATTGTCAGCGAGCCTGTTTTCAATAAATTACGTACCGAACAACAATTGGGTGAGTAATTGTTGAAAATAAAGCACAGGAAAGATGTTTTATGAACTTCTAAGTAGGAGGGGTATAAGTACCTAAGGCTTCCGACTTTCAATCACTAAGTTAGGATTTCGGACCTTACTTAACGTGTTTCTGTTCAGGCAACTTCTTAGTATCACTGTCAAGTACACAAATCTGTGTCTCGCAAGTGGTTTTATTATTATTATCCTATATATTAGTTAGAAGCTAAATTAGTTGCCATTTTTAGAAATTAAACTTTTATGGAACCGATTGCGATTGTCATTAAACTGATTTCGTAGATAACACTACTAAGAATTGAGCAAAATAACATGAATTCATTCTGCTCAATTCTTTGTTCTTATTCTATCCAAGATAACAAAGGGAACTAAATGTATGAGATAATGCTACGCTTGACATAAACTTGCAATGTATTTCACTATAGTTTTATCAGATAAACCTCATCATTTTTGTGCCTAATTTTAACTTGTATTCAGTTTTATTAAAATTTTACTTACATTTTATTAACCTAAAATTGACCATTCTATAGACGTTTTATTCTCTCTTGTTTTTTCATGTTCACATTGAAGGTTATGTTGTACAGGCTGGACTTCGACGATCAAACAAACTACAAGGTTTTCGTATTTTAGTGCAATCATCTTATCATCCTAATAAAATTGATAAATGTATCGAAGAATTTCTACTTACTGTAAATGTGAGTGTTACTGATTGTTTTCCTTCCATCAAACTGTATACGTAATGGATTGTTGTCTGTTCTGTTCTGTTCCGTCCTGTCATTTATGCTTTCATACTATGTATACGCCTCCAATATGATGGCTTGTACTTACGTACAGACTCCTTGATACATGCTATTCACTTTTCCTTACATATTGGTATTTTAGAAAATGCTAGAAGACATGTCTGACGAAGAATTTAATGTTCATGTGCAATCCCTCATGACACATTTACTGGAAAAACCGAAAGGTATGCAAGATCGATTTGGGCGTTTATGGTCTGAAATTGCTTGTCGACATTATAATTTCAAACGACGTAAGTTCATTTTATGGTTATTATTCAATCTTTATCTAATATATTATTTTTACGATTACCGATCTATTTAGTTGTTCTGTTTTATACATAGAATAAGATTTTCTTAATGTTTAATTTGTGTATTAATTACAACACAAAAACCAATTAGTAGGTGTTAATACGTTGTTTTTCGTTAAATTAAAATTATTGTGAAAATTTTAATTGTGGGAATGTTAAGCCAATTCTAAATTCTGACCAAATGTATTTCATATTGATTATTTTGTTATATATATATATATATATATATATATATATTACATAAGTGAAACTGTTAGCTATACTTTAACTGTTCAAATCAGTTACTATTACTTGTCAAATAAAGAACTGATGAATCACGCATGATTGCTTGATTCATGTGTAAGTCGTTTCCAAGGCATCGTTTCTTATTGTACATGAGTACAACATGTTTATGCTATATCTTTAAATTTGTTGCTCCAAGCATTTAACGCTTAGAATGCTAATCATCCAAAGTATTTGTTAATGAAAACGCTTTTCAAAGCCTTATGCATTAATACTTAATTGTTAACAGAATAATCTACCAATGTTTATTTAATGTTATGAATTATCTTCATTGAAAATATTACTTATAATTACAGATCTTCTTTATTTATATTTATGCCTTCAGTAATTAGTTTTTGTTGGATTATGTAAATTTAGTGTTAACTGATGCTTCCATACGGTCCGGACTTATAGATTTCTTATGTTCATAATATTGACTTTCAGTGGAATTCAGATTGGGAGTTTTCTTTAATCTCAGTTTTTACTAGAATTATCTACATCCTAACTTTTTCGCTGAAAACTTGAACCCTGTTTCAATATTTTTAGTCACAATAGAGTTATCTGCTAATCTCCTTATTCACACTATCTAGTAAATGCTTCGCGAAGCGACATATTTATATACTCAACATAACATATCTTAGATATTATTATTTATTTTAAGACATAGATATTGGTACAAGGAGGCACCAAATACATATGCGCCACAGAAATCTCATTCGATATGTGTGAGGGCTGTGGTACTGCCCGGGTTCCCAAACCGAAGCAGGTGGTTTTCTTAGGGGGCCACTCCTCGAGCCTTCGACCTGAAGGTCTGATCCACAATGCAGTGGAGCATCGTAAGGAGATGCAGTCCCATGGTAGCGGGTGACCAACGATTGGTTCATACGTCATTTGTTCCCGCAGGATACTGGAGCCCTTGTGCACCATTGGTTTGGTTTGGGATCCGGTTAAAGCGCCGAACATTCGCTTTTCGTCCTCTCATTTTCGTAAACAACACCCCCGTGGTGAGAGAAGGCAGTGAGTAGGACTTCCCTGGAAGAGGTTGTATACGCGTGGCCATGTGAGAGCATTTCGAGAGGGAGAGCGGACTCTCCCCACTCTCGGCCATACCAGGGCATTCGGGGGCTATCTTAGATATGAACGTTTAATATGGATAAACGACCAGCTTCAACTTATGTTGTACTGATTAAAAACATAACAACAATTTTAACCGTCCTATTTACAGTGAATAATAATTTCTTTCCTTTATCTTAAAGATTTACATGAAGCCGATGTCCTGAAATCGCTGAAAAAGAATGATGTTATCGATTTCTTTAGAGTACGTGTAACTCAACAAGACACTTTTCGTTCCTACTTTAATTTAAAATTTTATAAGCTTCATTTGTTCTTTTTTTAAAAAGATATGTTATGGTAAATTTGTAGCTACGTAAAATTATATGTGTAATCTCCAGCTTTGTGAATATTGTAAATAATCTGTTCAGTAGATTGAATTGTGGAACCCTATCCACCTGCTTATCGAAGTAATTAGGTTTTAGCTCTATCATATTCAAGTTACAAATATTTTAATAACGCCAACATTCCAGTTCGCTGCTGTGCCGTAATAATTAGACTTCACAATAGAATAATTTATTTCAGTTATTTAGTATTTCAATATTTAGTTAGCCATAGTTTATGTGTAAAATGAATCGATTCACATAGGTGATTCGATACTGTTTTCTTCTTAAGTGGATATTCTGACACTGGTCGCTAGGTTGTAGTGTCAGCTGCTATGTCAAGCTCATATAGATTCCGGATAGGTTAATCTGTTCATTCTCCTTGAGTCACATTTTGACCTTGTTAATTACTCGCTTATCAACCCTGAATGTTTTTATATGAGCGTATAAGAGTACATCTCTTATCTTACCCATCACATGTCTAACTTCTTTTTATCTGACCATAAATATCAATTCACACTTGGTTAAATCGAGTTCTTTTATATATTACCACCTTTCAATTAATTACTTCTATGAATCTGGTGTTCATCTTGCTGTGCTTATGCGGTATGACAACTTGGACCGATGCATATATGTGCCTGGTCCTACGTTGTCGCTGACTAACTGACTGAAATCGAGTTGGCTCAAACGCCTTCTGCACCGAACGTCATTTTGCTTCGTTCTCTTCGCTTCTCCGATATTTTGTCTGGACCAACGACTTTAAAAAATATACATATTCGAAATTCATTCTCGTATTTGACTTATTTAATTCCTTTATTCACTAACACGATTCAAGTTGATGATTATATACGAGTGGTGATACGTATATTTCAATAACAATCAGAAAAACAATCCAACATGAGTCAGATATAGGGTCACTAAACTGGCGAGCTTGACGTGATGAATGATCCAGAACAAAATAGAGATCATCGATCCTATTAAAAGGCTTATTAGAATTAAAGGCATCCACAAACATGATAGGAGGATGATATATAAATGAAAAATGTGTGGTATAATATAAAAATGACCTCGACCAAGTGAATGAGTGTAATAATATGCAAAAAATAGCATGGTAAAAAGGAACAAACTCACTTGGAGTAGGATAAATTTGCGTTATTGGGTGATTAAAATAGTCCAATGAGTTTCGGGTGTCATAACGTGCATGGAATGTTCATAAAATTATAATTTGTGCGGTAAGTGATATGGTTGCGTTAATGTCATCACGAACAGCAATAATCATTCCACGTTAAATGATAATGTGATGATGAGACTAGGATAATTATTTGAATCATAATAGAACGATACGCCAGATGGATCAGTAAGATTAGTACATGTCCGTGTCGTGCTGTACAGGCTTCGCTGAATCTTTTCTGATTGTTATTGAGATATACGTATCACCACTCGTATATAATCATCAACTTGAATCGTGTTAGTGAATAAAGGAATTAAATAAGTCAAATACGAGAATGAATTTCGAATATGTATATTTTTTATAGTCGTTGGTCCAGACAAAATATCGGAGAAGCGAAGAGAACGAAGCAAAATGACGTTCGGTGCAGAAGGCGTTTGAGGCAACTCGATTTAACCAATTGTGAATTGATATTTATGGTCAGATAAAAAGAAGTTAGACATGTGATGGGTAAGATAAGAGATGTACACTTCTACGCTCATATAAAAACATTCAGGGTTGATAAGCGAGTAATTAACAAGGTCAAAATGTGACTCAAGGAGAATGAATAGATTAACCTATCCGGAAGCTAGAATAAGTTATATGGGCTTGACAAGGTCATCACCATATTTTATTGTTTATATATATTAATTGAAATAAACTTTTGTAACTAATGTTCATTAACTAAATAGTACAATTTTTTCAGTCTGATCAATAATGGTAAATGTTTTCGATTCTGAAGTCTTGCTTCGACCTTTTCAGGAACATTTTTACATAAACAAGTATACTCACTATGATTTATCACTTCTGAAATTATCTTCGTTGAAACAGTGCAATCATGTTTCTCATTCTTAAACTGTACAAACTTTATAGATTTAATAGTTTAGGGATTAATGATTTACATATGTATTTTGTGTGTTTATTTTATTTTGTACTGAAATATAGTCGACTGGAAACTTAATCTTTACTTATTGATCATTTTATATAAAATTTAGAGGTATATGGATCCATCATCATGTAGAAGGAGAAAATTAACAGTTCATGTATTATCAAACGAAGAGCATTCCTATGATTCGGAATACAATAATCATGATGAGAAGGTCAGTATATATATACATAATTTGTAATCTGTTTTCATTGTTTAATTTCCATAAAATGAGATGGCATTTTATCAGTATTCATCGCAATAAATAGCGATAGGTTTTTGTGTATATGTAATAAACACTTCTGTAATTTGAATCTTTCGACCTTCGAATCAATCAATCATCCACGAAATACAACATATCTCAGACGTGTATCAGCTGAAGTTGTGACACAGAATACCAGTACAACGAATAGGGAATTTAAAAAAGTGGAAGTACATGATGTTCATCTCATTTCTTCACCTGATGTTGTATTCGATACACTATTGTTTCTTGCCCATGTTTTAATCTCAACATTGTCTCGTAATTTTCTATCTTCATTCAGTAGTCTAAACAAATGATCTACAAATAACTAAAATAGATGTACAGTCTCGTTGAACTTTTCTCACGAAAAGTCTATAGTGCCTCTAGCATTTATTCATCGTAAATTTTACCTCACGATTTATTACACTTGACTGCTTATAGATGGTGAGCATTAGTTGGCCGGCAACTTCCATCTTTTTTTTGCAATTATACTATCACTATCGGTCTTATAAGGTTGAACATACTTACCATAATTACTGTTCGTCGATATTTGGCAAAACTCATAACAGATTTACCTAAAATCAATAAAACTGAAAAAATTCCTTTTGTATGGTTAGTATGATAACGGATATCTGTTGTCCATATCACAATCCTGGATCTTTTATTACGCAACGTTTGACTGGTGGCCGATTAGCATCCTGGATTGTTGCTGTTTTATTTTCAAAAGGCGAGTTATTTGATATGGATGTAACATTTATATACTGAAGCAACACTTCCGCGATTATACTCAGGCTCCCAATATTTGTGTCCTTTTCTAAGATGGCACTTTTAACCGTATACTTTTTCGATGTTTCTGAAATATAAACATCACACCTACATATGGCTATTAACCTGATATTACTGTTAAAAAAATGAAGTTGTCAACCACTAGTAATTCTTTTATCGTCTATAAGTAATATTTTGGTGGATATGAGTAGCCATAGCACCTAATAATAACATTGCTTAGTCTAATCTGTTATATCTACTGTTCCCAATTGAAATTGCACAAAGCATGGTTCCTGTATTTCAACATGTGAGATTTTCTCGGTGGTATATGATTTCATCATCTGTGTATTAACATTGTTGCGACTAAGTCGTGGCACTTGCGCAAGTCAGTAACGATAACTTGTGGTAATTAATTTGATTGGTGTACCGAACCCAATCTTACGACAAGGTATCATCTTGTTTCGTTGCTTTTGAGACATACATCACTGTATGTAAAAAAAATTTCGAAAATTTAATTGTGCGGCTTCCGAAATCAATGATATTGTTTACTTTTCTCTAGTGCTGCATACATTTTACCATATTTACTTTTTGTTCATTTATTGATTGGTACGTAAACTAAAGCCTATCTACGTTGACTTTTTCTTTGGTTTAGGTAATTGTTTTAAAGGATTACACCGAATTGAAACGTTGTTGTCCTTTGAGCGCTTTAGCGAGACCATTCATGGTGTTCACATCCAAATATGAAGGGAACGTACTGCGATTTTAATTCGGTTTTCTGCATTACATATTTAGAGATATTTAATATATGGGTCGTTCGGTGATCGTCAAAATGTGCCATTTTCAAGGTTTCATATTTTCTACATTATCTTTACTTTTCCCTTGGAGAAATCGTGGATTTAAATCAACTTTAGACAGATTTCAATTATAAAATCCCCGGACGAAAATTAATAAAATGTAATCGTCCCATTACTTATGTGCCCAGTTATTTGTTAAAACATTAGTTCTTAACTTTTCTTAGTGTCTTGATCAATCAAGATCTCTTCATGTTTTCGCTTGCTGTACAAATTTCAAAAATTTCCTACGGTTGTTTTCAGGCTTTTATATTTCTCCTTGATTTTACGGTCTTTTCGTCTACGTATTCTTTTAATACACATCTAAACTGACTTTGCTTTTTTCTGTAGGATACATATTTAGTACATGTTCATTGATAAGTCATGACAAACGACTGACTGTAAAAACAATCATAAGAATGTATTGTTTTCCATTTACACAGTTTTAATCTGAAGGCGTACGCAAGACGATGAAGCCATTATTCACAAATGACGGTGCTCTTTATCTCTCTTATTACTAGTGAACTAAATTTACTTGTCAAAGACAGTATCATATCTCATCATTTTCTTCTGTTCTCAAACCTAAGTTGAGAACTTTCCATCATGCAACTATGAAAGTGAATGTATAGCTTGTTATATAAGTACATAAACAACCGTGAGTTAATAGTAATTAACCTATATGGTGAATATCAGGACAGCATGTTATAGATCTGGTTAACTAAGTTTAGTGTCATTATCCATAAAAATAACAGATGGAAATATCAAGTCGAAGCAAACCACAATAATCTTTATATTGAAGACGAAAGGCTTGTTTCACTAGCTTCGAATTCGACATGTGTTATAGACATTCGTCCTGTTATTGTGTGATCTCGTGACTCATTGACCAGCTTCTCAGTCTAAAATATTGGTGCCTACTCGAGACGCGAGTGACTCATAGTAAGATTGGGATGCATATGGTAGACTGATCCCTTAATGGTGACGGTTGTCATGCTCTTACAGTTCATAGTGGCTGTTTGATGAATGTCAACTCATTGTCTATGTACATGAGGGTGCATGAACGACAGACTCTTGTTCATTTCCAGTGTGACCTCCACGTGATCGAACAGGTATGTAACAGAATTATTAGCACACTCCTCATCTATGTAGATGGTGAAAATGGAGGAAACTGGTGTTTCCGTTCGTAGGAATCCCTATGATCAAAAGAAAAGGTTTGTCAATATTCATGAAAAATTGAAGTGTGTGTAATTTGAAATGCCATCCTCCAAGAAGTTTGTAAAATGAATGTATTGATATAACAGGCTTCTGGGAGACGTGGAATTTATTGATTAAGATCAGGACTATTGTTAAACCCCAATACAATATAATACAATTGAAGTTGAACAACGAAGCTATAACCACCAACACAGGACTACCTGTATATTCAAACGCGCGTCGACCGTCTCGCGAAAATCTATAATTGACTGAAAGTGCTTTCGAACGTATGATTGACCTGAGAATGGTCTATTGGTATCGCCTTTTCACATAGTCTCCGAAAGGGATAGCAAAGACTCGTCCAGCTGTTGATTATCAATGACTTGACATGAAATCCACCACCTTGTTTTCCAATTATTCCAAAAATATGGCATTACCGAATACATTCAGGAATGCCAGATTGGAACTGATACACTCGACTTTCTCGTCCACACTACTGACACCCAGGGTATTCGCCCTGAGAAAAAAAATCGAAACCGCTCCGGATCACCAAGCAATGACCATGATGATGCAGTTACACAGATCTTTGTCGACAATTCGTACCGATTTGCGGGTCTCATGGAACTTTTTACACGCCAATTCTGTAGAAATGCGAGAGCGTTCAATTCGGATGACAACGCAAAAAATAATTCGCCACAGTTGAGGAACTTATTGCGGAAGCAACCACACTTTCACACTAGGACGTTAAAGCACCCAGCAGTATCAGGAGTTACCCGAAGGGCACTTATAGCATGGGAATCACATGAATCCAGGATCATAAAGGCATCCTTCAAAACAAAGAAGAAGGGAATCGCACTGAATGCTATCCAATATTATTCAGCCAACAATGATGACAAACGTCAGTTTTAGGGGAGTTTGCAGTCGATTATAGCGAAGCGCCCATGAAAGTACCTCACCATCTTGATAGGATACCTAAACGATAAAGTCGGGATGGACAACACCGGGTATGAAGATATCATGGGACGACATGGACTGACTTGGATGAAGGAACGAGAATGGTGATAAATTTGCAACTTTATATGACTTCAACATGTTATTTATAAGCAGTACAATGTTCCCCCACGAACGTATACACAAATCTATACGGGTCTCACCGGATTACGCTACTGTGAACTAGATCAATCATATTTGCATCACTAATGAGTTCATAAGGTCAATGGAAGACGTGTTAACCAGGATAGGAGCATACATAGATTCAGATCAACACCTGGTGGTTGCCAAAATGAAGCTGAACCTAAAGAAACACTGGACAACTGGGGAAACAGCATTAAAAAGTTTCAATTCAGCCTTCCTTGGAGATAATGACAAACCCAATCACTTCCAGATTGCTTTGAAAAACAGGTTTCGAGCCATTCAAGACCTACGCATTGAGGAATCTGTAGTGACATCTGATCCTAACCACACAATCCCCAAAGCTGAACTCGGAATAACTAGAAAAACAGATATCTAATATTTGACTTGGAAAGAAGGTCAAGATTGGACAAGGCTGGAAGAAAGAATTCAATTCAGTCAGAGGGCATGGCTCAGCCTTGCAGGCGTGGTCATTCTTGTGTAACATTACTTTTATTCGTATTAAATATATCATTTTGTTTTCAACCTAAATATGTTCTCCAGCTTATATTGGTGATTATACGATACGATGAGTCGATGTAAACAATGATGTGACTTTCGCCTAAGATATTATACATTAGGCAGTTACATCATGGCAAATCTACAATTTCAGGATTATATATATTACTAGAGCAGTACTAACAACGATGTAAACCATAGTTCTACAAATCGACTATTGCGGATAACATGAAAGGGAACAAAGGAGTGTGAAATTATGGTCCGGTTCGGTATTAGTACTACTATAATAATATACCTAATACTGAAATCGCAGATAAACCATGATACGACTGCTGAATCTCTAAGGTCTTGTGTGGAAGTTACATCATTTCATGCTCTGACTCATCGTATAGTGTCAATGAACAATATGATACTTAGCACTTCTAAAGGACACACTTGGTTTAGGAATAGAATAGTGTACTTAATGTGAATAGTAGTAAGTCACACATAATTACTACGTCAGCAAGGCTGGACCATGTTATCCAATTGATTCCTGCCACCTACATCATTCTGGACCTTCTGCTTATGTCACATGTTGAATGCCAATCTTCTCAGGGATTTTATGTTCAGTTCCGAGGCATGAGTTTGGGAACAATAGCACTGCAGAAACACTAACTTCAACGTGTCAGGAGGTGATGGACCCCACGGAAGTGGACAAAGCTGCCATAGAGGGAAATATCGGACAGCTATGTAGTATATCGAAGAAAGTGTCTGGGGAATGTAGTAAACCAGATTTAGTGCACGACAACACATGTGGAGACGATCGAATGTATTTGGACGCAAAAATAAAAAATCTTTTAGTAGAGTCTGAGAACCATACGGTGAATGTCGAGAATAGAGGAACATATAGGTAAAATTCTTTGAATAACTCTTGAATAGGCCAGTCCCGCTCACTGGACATCGAGGTAGTACATATAGACCATTAATGACCGAAAAAATCATAATGGGCATCAGGCAAATCAAAAGTGAGAAAGCTGAGGGACCTGAAAACATACCATCTGGTGCACTGAGGTCAAGTGTAGAATTAATTGCAAACGTCCACCACATTCCATTTAGCGAGATTTGGGTGTAGGAATAAGTGACTTTAGACTGGAATGAAGAAAACCTCATCAGAATAACAAAGAAATGAGATATGAGCAAGCGTAAGGAATACAAAGACATCACACTCCTATCAATACCAGGGAACGTTCACAACGGAGTGCTGCTGAACCGAATGAAAGGTTCAATAGACGCTGAACTTCGAAATCAGTAGGATGGATCCCGTAAGGATCGATGGTGCACAAACTAAATCGCCACACTACGATTATCGACGAACAATTAAGTGAATGGAACTCATCACTGTACATCATCCTCCTTGACTATAAGAAGGCGTTTGACATCGTTGGTAAGACAACCTTATAGAACGCTCTCCGACATCATGGTGTACCTAAGAAAATCGTCTGCATCACACGGAATTAATACGACAAACTACACTGCAAAGACGTGCATGTAGCTGACAGCTGACAGGCCCAATCAAATTGAGGGTCGGAGTCGTACATAGCTGCTTAATACCTTCCTCCATCTTTCTTCTGGTGATTGACTGGATTATGAAGACCTCCACATCTGAGGGGGAACACGGAATGCAATGGACAGCTCAAAATCAGTTAGAAGACCTGGACTTCGCATATGACCTGGCTTTTCTATATCATGCACACCAATAAGCGAAGATGGAGACAACTACATACATAACTCAACATACACAAAATAAGAAGCAACATTCTCATATACAACGTAGGACAGACTAAATATCACTTGATGGAGAAACTCTGGAGGAGTTGGAAAATTTCCAGTATCTGGGTAGCACCATCGACGGACAAGCGAACCCGATACAGCCGCGATGGCGAGGATTGACAAAACAAGAGCAGGATTCCTGCAGTTGACATCCCACTTCAAGACCAACAGGCTGGACTCCGTAATGATCGATCGTGAACAGACTTACAACTGGAGAACATATGGAACTCAAAACAACTGCCAGCCAACACCGAAGTCAGAATCCTCAATGCGAATTTCAAGACAGTTCTACTGTACGGAGCTGAAACGTAAAGAACTACTACAACCATCGTCAAAAAGGTACAAGAATTTATAAACAACTGTCCACTGGGCGGATACCATCAGCAACAGCCCAATGTGGTGGAGAATAAACCAGCTTCCAATTGAAGGAGAAAGTAGGAAAGACGTTGGAGGCGGGTAGGATATACAATGCGGAAGTCATCAGACTGCATCACGAGACAATCCCTAACATGGAATCCTGAAGGGTAGAGGAAAAGAAGACCAAGGAATGCATTGTGTCGGGAATTGGAAGCGGACATCAAAAGAGCAAACAGCAATCGGAAAGGATTGCCCAGGACATGGTCGGATGGAAGATGTTGGTGGGCTGCTTATGCTCCTCCACGTCAGTCAGTCAGTAACAACGTAGAACTTCGTACGTACGTACA